AATGCATTTAACCTGCAGTTACAAATGCATAAATAATGTTTTGGTATATTAAACATAAAACATTGAATACTGATATTTGAAATAATTAAAAAAATGAAAAGATACTTTAAATGTGAAATTAAAACCGCCAGTAGGTGGCAGCAAGTCACTGTTAAGTGAGTCATTGCGAATGAACCGAATGAATGAATGAATGAATGATGCATTTATATAGCGCTTTTATTGTGTATTGTTGTACACCCAAAGCCCTTTACAATCATATGGGGGGTCTCTCCTCAACCACCACCAGTGGAATTTCGTCCGTTCAATCATTTAAACGGTTGATTCATTCAGGAACGAAACACCGTCATGTTGCTCAGAGACACAAAACAGCGCTGTGGCTTTGTTTGGAATTATTTTTGTTGGCGAAATAGAGCAAAAACAGGCAATATGGTGTCTAAAATGTAAGTCTCTTAATAAAACTTCTAGTTTATTGAACTATTGTAAAAAATCAATATCACATTTGTATATGGTAATTTTTGGAGAAACAAAGGCACTCTTCCGTGTGAACTTGAGTATAAATATACATTATTTTCTGCGACCCATGTCTTGAATTTATGATCATTCTTAATGTATTTTAATAGACTGAATCATGCAGTGATCAGGCAGAGCGCATGCGCACTAGACTTCACGTAATGCGTGCACTCTGTAGCTGTTTGTTCTCTCTGATGACGCAGTAACTTACCGCGGGAAGAAAAAATCTTCGGTCTGTCCAATGATTGTAAAGTCATTAGGTCTGTAAGACTGAAGATATTTTAGCGGTAATGAGACCAAAAAAAATTAAGACCCATCGAATCCGAATTTAAGTCATTAAGACTTTTTAAGGCCTTATATTAGGAAAACGTTATTTAAGACTTTTTGAGGACCCGCGGACACCCTGTGTTACCAAGGGGTAACAACACTTCTTGTTACAATTCTCAGTTGAGTTTAATATTATAGTATTGTCCTTATTAGTGAAACTATATCAATTGTATTATTAATTAGTGCACCCATATTTGTTTTTTTGTATCAAAAGATGACTAGTTTATTTCAAGTAGTCTGTGAATTGTGGAAAGGAAATTTTTTTTTTTTTTTACAATTGCACCCGTTCTCAAGTTAACAACAAGACCTTTCTTGTCTTGACTTGACTAGTTTAGGACACATCCTGCTCAGTACTTTCAAATTATTCAATGTTTCTGTTTTTCATTCTCTGATAAAAAAATTTAAAATATGAAATTGTCCAGCCCATCGATATCTGCAAAATACATCTACCATAGTATAAAAAGAAAAGCAGAATCTCTACCGGTGGACACTTTTTTTTTTCTTTCTGTCACACAGTGCTGTACACGCCACCAGCTCGTGTTTTCCCTGTCCATCTTTCTTTACCTTCTGATATTTTCCAGCCCCTCCACAGCTCCTCCACCGTGATGTGCTGGTCCTCTCGGTGAAGATTACTGTGTTTATTTGTCTGCTGCTGCTTCATGTCCTCTATGATAAACTGCAAAAGAACAACAGGATAACATTACTGCTCAGACCACAGGAAAATTACTTCTTACGAATCAGTTCATGCCATATCATATTTTATTTGGCTTTAGGTCACAAGTGGGTTTGCTGGTTTCAAAATTACCTTTCAATATAATGCAAATATTTTGAATGCAAAAAATACATAAGAGAAACATTACATTTGAATATTGTATCTGTTGCCTTACACATGATATTAATTCATTTTGCAGATGCTTTTAACCAAAGCGACTAACAAATGAGGAAAAACACATGTGATTAATCATAATGAGACTACAACATTTGCAGAGCCGCAATGCAATTTAAAAAAAAGACCAGAAGTACATAACTAGAGCACAGTTTTATTGCACAATAAAGCAATTAGAATATGACAAGCATACTAGATAAAAGTGAAGCTCTCTGTGGTCAGGTCTGTGTCAACTGTGTATCTATCTGTGGTTCTGCATATTTGTGTGCTGCACATACATGACGAAAAATGTCATTTTGTTAAACAGAGGTTTGTTTGTCCCTTCTGTTTATTAATTATGTTGCTATGCTCCAACAAATGAGGGACAAGACATCTTTAAAGTTGTGTAGGTTTATTTAGCAACTCGCTCTCCCTCACATACACACACTCAGGAATCTGCTGTGTTCTGAAAGAGGACACCAACTTTCAGTGGCTGTAAGGAGGAGAAATTCTTAAGCCTCTTCTCGAAACACTTCTTGAGCCGAGGAACACCTGCCATGACCAAAAACAATCCTCAAAACACACGTCACATCCTCACTAACCATTTACGTACATAAAAAGTCCCCAAAAAAAACAGGAAAGTAAAAAGAGAAAACATTCAAACTTGAGGTTGCGAGCGACCCTGAAGGAAATGGTGAGGGCCACTAGTGACGTATGAACATGTTTAGTGTGGACAAACCAGAAGACTTACTACCTCTTGTGTTGCCTGAGGATGTTGCTATTATTTTAACAGACTCTAATAGCAACTTTTTGCATATTTTTTATACTATTTATAACTTGTTTACCTCCAGCTGCAATAAATTGTAAAAAAAGAACTCAGGAAGTAAGTGATCCATGTCTGCAGTAAATTAAACAGAGAGGTGCATTGTAGGATTTACACTTTTGAGTAGTGTCAGTTGGCATAAAAGAAGGAAACTTCCACTTCACCGGATGAGTGTGTTTGATAGAATAAAGAGGACATGTGAAACTGTCATTCAAACCTCAAAAACATCAACAAACATACATACACGCCCACACACCCACCTCATAACATCATGCATAACGACTTCTAACATCTGAACTATTCAAAAAAGAGTTAATGTTCAAGTCAATGTTCAAATGACATTAGTTATACTAACAATTTAATATATTTTGTTATAAACACTACTCTATATATATATATATATATATATATATATACAGTATATATATATATATATATATAGGGGAGAGCAGGGTGAGGTGAGTCAGTTTTTACTTACGGTGTGTTTAAAGCGAGCACATGATAGTAATGGGTCCAACTTTAATATGTACGTAAATTTCAGGATGTGGTGCGTCCTTGGGAATAATCACTTTAATATGTACGTAAATTTCAGGATGTGGTGCGTCCTTGGGAATAATCACTTTGGATCCAAAATAAACTGCTTTCAAAATATGACTTTCCAAAAAAAATAATTGTATCTTGGCTCAACTTGCCCCCAGTGAGAGGGTAAGTTGAGCCACATGGAGTTAAACTGTGCCATTGATTATGCTGAAGTAAAACATTTAGAACATTTTCACCTCATGCTATATCAAAAGAAGAGAAATTTAATAAAAATGACTTCTTAAAATCTATGTGAGAGCCTTGTAATGGACTGGCCGTTCATCCAGGGAGTTTCCCTGCCTGTTTCTCAAGACGCTGGGTTAGGCTCCAGCTCCCTGTATCCCTAATAAGGACAAAAAGGTTTGGATAATACTGTAGAATGGATGGATGGATGAATGGATGACGTCTTAAATGTTCTATTTAAAGATACTGTTCACAACTTTGAAGGCATTTTTTAAATTATTTACAAATTTCAAAATAAAGTTCAAACTGAAGAATAAAAAAAAAAACTGACTGCAATTGACCTTACAGAACAAACATGAATTAGCTATTAATTTAAAAAAATACTTATCTTAAATTAGGATTAATAAATTATGTAAAAATATCCATTGCTAGTTCATGATAATATAAATGAAATTAACCTTACTTAATTAATTAAAGTATTCATGGCTGTGGATAAATAAAATTCAATTGTTTTGTTAGAACATAATTCACCTAAACACATTTTGTGTTGAGACAAAATGGCAATTAGCATTCACAGTCACTTAAATCATGTCACAGTCAAGATTATATTTAACTGGCACAGATTGTGTTGCATAGATCACGTTTAGGAAGCCATGCATATGCAAGTGACACTAAAACATGCCTATTAAACCATGCAAAAAGCCTTTAACATATTTAAAACTAATTATATACAAATCCTATTTGAATATGCATTGATTTTTCATCATGTATACACAAACACACACACACACACAATCATGTAGTAGCCCTCTGGGTGAAGTGCTCATATGTCAATAGTCTCTTTTTGCAGGCAAGAACCAATGTCAACTTTGCCCTTTGAGGTCCCTGGTGGGTCTAAGCTTTATTGACCTGTTTTTAAGCCCCCCGACCCCCTCACAAAATGCACACACACACACAAACACGCCCCCACACTCCAACACATGTATTATTGTATTAAATGAAAGGCAAAAATTGTCCAGGTCTAAACAACATATGCTCACCTCTACACTCTCATTCACTTCAATTCCTCCATCGTTGTCATCATCTAGCTGCTTGTGAATGTGCCGAAGTGCCTCTAAACTGAAGCGGTCGGCTTCATTCATACATGGAGGGATGACTGTCAAACACGGGTCTGCAGGGAAAGACACACAATTAATCTTTGTCCAGCTACACAATTAAACTCTGCTTTAAAAGCTTTAAACTTCTGCTTTTCTACGTAGTTCAATCCAAGTTTATTGCATATCCAGACAGACGATTTATGATCATTATTATTTATGGCAATTTTCAGGCTTTAAATGCCTGTCAACAAGAAATGCTATTGTTAATTAATAAATAATAATACTACTCATCAAGTTTGTATCCTGTCTAACTGTATGTGTGAGCATGTGCATGTCTGTAGGGCTCTGTTTACAGGTGTGTGCTTTCACCGGTCTTGACACGCTTATTAGTTTACAGGCTGTTGATATGGCAAAGGGTGCTGGACTGCTGGTATTCGTTTGGATCACATCCTTGCTCTTATTTAAGAGAAGACGTGCGAGAAAAGAAGAATCAATCCAGTTTTAACAAAACTATTATTAGAAAAGAGCCCTGATTGGATGCAACATTACACATAACTGAGGAGCCCAGGAACATTTTCCCAGAGACAGACACATTACACAGAAAAAAAAAGATCCACATATACACATATATAATCTCCTTCTTAAAATATTAAGGCAGCTGTATATCTGCTTGCATAAAGACAAACGTATACTATATGAGAAAAGTGCAAAGTTATGCAAAAACCCACATTCTTCAAAATATCTCCTTTCGTATTCTGCAGAAGTACGTCATAGACGTTTGTAATAAATTGAAGGTGAGTAAATGATGACAGAATTTTAATTTTTGAGTGATTTATCCCTTTAAATAGGACTAAAGTACATATGCAATTTCATAATTCTGTTGTCTTAGAAATATGGTTAAAGTGTACTGTTGATTTTACTGAGAAACATGTATGGTAAACCAAAAAAATAAGGCCATTTCTACTGAAACTTGTAAATCATGCATTTAAAAAATATTTCTAATCACACATGATGAAGTTGCAATTTAGTACATTTAAAGTATATTAAATGTAATATAAAATAACAAATAACCAAGTACTTTGCATGTGCTTTAGCATGTTGTACTTCTTTTTTTAAATAACAACGAAAACATCATGATTTAAAATGTACTTTAAAGTAAAACATTTAATTTGAAATGACATTCACATTCAGTGAACACAATGCACATTCAGTACTATTAAGCACACTTTTTTTTTTTAAAGGGTAGCCGCCTGAGGGTCCCCAGACACCATTTTGAAAAACTCTTTATGTTAACTAACTGAATAAAAAGCAGAGAGTTACAGTATCAACAATGAAAGTGACTGTCTTGTATGGCTGGACCACCTTAAAATGCTCCTAAACAAAATTAAACTAAAGAAGGTCTTCTCTTAGTACTGTATTTGCATCTTGCCTTGCATGTGTTCCCCCATTGCATAATCATATTTGTGTACCAGATGTCCCTGTCCACACGCATTTCCATGTGTGTTTTTTTTTGCATAGAACTCACTTGAGCTGATGGGTAATATCACAGGAACACTGTGACAAGAAGAAATGCCAAACAATTACAAATGCTGTATCAAACAGTGCGGAGTCCACACTGAATGTTGGATGTTACCAAAACGTGAAAATAATGTTTCTGGATTGTGAAAAAATTAAAACAAAAATGATGATATAAAATGAATTTGTAGGTCACTAATAATAAAAAAAAAGTCAAATTAGTGACACTGATCATGTGACCCCATTGCATAATCATATTTGTGTACCAGATGTCCCTGTCCACACGCATTTCCATGTGTGTTTTTTTTTGCATAGAACTCACTTGAGCTGATGGGTAATATCACAGGAACACTGTGACAAGAAGAAATGCCAAACAATTACAAATGCTGTATCAAACAGTGCGGAGTCCACACTGAATGTTGGATGTTACCAAAACGTGAAAATAATGTTTCTGGATTGTGAAAAAATTAAAACAAAAATGATGATATAAAATGAATTTGTAGGTCACTAATAATAAAAAAAAGTCAAATTAGTGACACTGATCATGTGACTCAGATGTTCAGATGGTCAGATTCTTGCTTCCATTTCCAAGGCTCTTTGTATCATGCCAAATCATACTGGAGAACATGACCATCAGGTTTGACACAAAAGTTAATGCATCTGTCATTAAAGACATTTGAAATGCGTGTTAGCTTTTCAGTAAAACTGGTATGCTGATCATATGCAGTGACTAATTGTATTACATCAAAATAGGAGAATGTCCACTAGTAGTCTGCAAAACAGAGAAAACTTTTAACAGCATATTCAGATTAGCAAAGTAAACAAAAAGACTGCCGATGATGTGCAGGTCACTTTTTATTCAAGTGACATTAATAAACTTACTACAAAGCTCCCCTAGCACACACAGCATGTGGCAGGAAGTGACACTGTGAGGGGGAGAATAAACACAACCAAGTAGCAAAAATAGTTCTGGAGAACAAAATGAGTGAGTGTAAAATTAGGACACGCAAAGTTATAAATAGATTTTTGTTTCCAGTTGTCAGGAAGTGGTTTATCTAAATGACAAAGAACAGTAAAGGCCTCCATGAGAAATACACCCACATACACAAACTTTTTAAATGACAGAGGCTGAAGTTACGAGTTATAAAAGATAAAAGATGAACCGCCACTTGCTAAAACTTTCTTTCCGTGATATCAAGGAAAAAGAAACTCTCAAACAATCCTCAAGCCCTTTTTTATTATCATTAATAATATAACAATAAGCATGCTGATACACTATCAGGAAATGTTTTTTATAGAAATTGTACCTTTATTGGCAGAACAGCTTGTATGCTCAAAGGGACATATTTGCACCTTATTCACCCCTAAAGAGTTCAAAATGGCACCTTTTTTTCAAGTTGTGTGGCCCCTTTAATCTAATTGGTAATTACAGAATTGCAAGAACAAAGCGGCGTGTAAAGTAAATGCATATTGTGAGAGATCTGATATGTGCCTGGGACACTCGGATTACAGATGGGTGTCTCGCTCAGACAGGAGCCATCACACTGCTGAAACACTCTCAACACACACGTCGGCTTCGGAGGAAGTATGTCGGGTTAGAAACTGTGTTTATGTAAGTATGTGTTCATTCAACGCAGGAGAGAAAACAGAAAAACAATAAAAGATATGAGCACTCAAGAGTTTATGAATGTGCAGACCAAGAGGAGCTGGTGGCCTACCGTGAGACAGTCTCCCAGACTGGGCCTCTCTAGAGAGGTAAGATGAGAGGGTGAGAAGTCCAATCAGGTGAGAAATGCACTGAAATACAGCAAGGTGATATACACTGAAAGACAAACATTACGTCAGAGAAAGAGAGAGACTCTGAGAGAAAGAGGAATGGCTCATGGGCTTTACCAGCCAGCCTAGTCTCATGTTTATACGTAGGTATTAATACATAATGTTTATAAGCTTAAAACAAAATTTAGATGTATTTCAACTTTTAAAATGTACAAATCGCTACGTATTTTTAGCTAAAAAACGTAAAAAATATTTACGCATCTTTTGTATCATTAAGATATTCGTATCAATGCATTTTTATCATTTTATCAATAAGCGATTTAGATTTTTAGACCCCTTAACTTACCCCCAAACCTTAACCTACCCATTTTACAGCGAATATGCATTTTTATCATTTTATCAATAAGCGATTTAGATTTTAGACCGCTTAACCTACCCATTTTACAGCGAATATGCATTCTTATCATTTTATTAATAAGCAATTTAGATTTTTAGACCCCTTAACCTACCCCCAAACCTTAACCTACCCATTTTATAGCGAATATAAAAGGATATAAAACGCAATTGACTGAAATATGCAGGAAAATAACCAGTTTAGTAACAATATAGCATTAAAATATTTTTATAGTCGCTAATCCCATTCCTACCTCTAAACATAATTATTTCTGTACAGTATAAGAAAAACATGACAGTCAGATGAATGCAATTACAATCATTGGTAATACAGTAGGTTTGTGCAGAGCAGAATTTATGTTGTTCATCACTGAAAATATTTTCCAGATTATTTTCCCGATCCACTCCGTGAACTCGTGAAGGCGCGCGCGCATCATTCAAACACACCTCACCAGAAACACGGCATGTCGCAATCTGTGATGAATGCAGGCGAGAGCCAATGAGCGTTCAATTATTCTGCTATAAAATCTGTCGTTTGAAGTGGCAACATTTGAAGTTGTAAAGAAGAGTGCGTTAGGCAGCGCGGGCTTTGCTGTTTACGGTCACTGGACTCGCTGCTTAGGATGAGATGAAGATCGCCGAATAAAGGCTTGGATTTGGAAGATTTATGGATTCATGGATTTATGGATAAGTAGCGTATGGATTCGGAAGATTTGGATTACACCGCACAAAAAAAAATTGTTTCATTTCGTAATTATGTTGCGTTTTTGGTGTATTTTATAGTTCTATCGTCAGTCACAGCATGTCGGAGAAAACGCCTTTTGGGGCCCATGACAAACAAAGTAAACATTACATGACAAGTAAAGGTTAAACGATTGCAGAAATGTTATTTATTTTAAGGGTTTAAAGTGTAGTCTTGTTTAACATTATGTAGGCCTATTCTTGGAAACGAGCTTGCAGCAGAAATCCCACAACAAAACGAAATGTTATCATTTCATATTAAGTAAATGAGTAAACAATTTAATAATGCAATTGAAAACAAGTAACAAAACAAAAAAGTACTAATGATACTATGAAATATGAATTTCATTTTATGTTTTTTTTTCTTCTTTTTCTTTTTAGCTTTATGGAATCAATCCGAGCAGCTGAGTCCTTAACCATCTTCAAGAAACGACTAAAAACACATCTGTTCCACCTTTATTTGACCCTCTAACTCTAGCACTTTCTATTCTATTTTAATTCTACTTTATCTATATTCATCTTCTTTTTTTTATTAAAAATAAATAAATAAAACACTAGCTTTCCATTTTTTTCTATTTTATCTACTTGATTTTCTGTGTGCGTGTGTGTGTGTGTGTGTGTGTATAATATATATATATATATATATATA